TCCTGCTTTGTCAGATGACATTACTGAAGCACCATCATATGCTTGACCACATATCTTACGTGTGTTAAGAGAAACTTGAGGATGGGATTGAACTTCTAATATGTTTTTGGAAATTCCAATTGCAGTTGCTCGATCAAGGTGTATGAATGACAGGAGACATTCTTTGATTTGTCATGAAGACTGATCTACATATCGTAAACATAATGTAAGAATTTCCTGGTTGGAAAATCCATTTGCTTCCCTGATGATTTCACCCAAGTCAATATGACCTTGTGAATGTACACCAGCTTCAACAGGACACTCTTCTTCAGAAGCATGAATATGCTCATTTATTTGAGGTATCTCAGCATCTGTTGATGCCTCTAAAGCTGAATCAACTGCCATTTTTTCTGTTTCAACCTCAGATGAAGAAGAGGCAAGTGATGATGCTTGTCCTTCTTTATCCACTCTGCATAAAACATTACATTTTAATAGTGAGTCTATACAGCAATTATAAACTATACCTTTTGAAGAACTGAGTGAGCTGTGTACTGGATGCTCTCTTTCTGGTGTTAGACATTGCTCTCACCCTGCTGATGGCAACTGATGTGGTTGCTATGTTGTGGCTGGTTGTTCAACCCCAAATAAATTCATAAACCACATGCAGAAGGTGTCAATTATATTCATAAACCATAGTGTAAACTATTTATGTAATCAAATTTTAAAATAAAAAATTTATTCAAAATGGTTTGGGGGGATTGCAACCCCACAAACCCCCCCCCCCCTAGATCCGCCCCTGATGTCTGATTTGCAATAATAATGATGGTGGATAATTGTATTAATTTAATCCGTCCGTAGGTTTCATTTTTCTTTTTGGAAAAGACGTATGATCTTATTTACTTTAGACAAAAGGTGTAGTGACGTGTAAATAGAAAAGGCTTCAAAGAAATGTACAAATAAATTCCTGAAACAATTTAGGGTATTTACTGATTTTTTAATTGGTAAGAATATTTTACAAAAGCATCTAACAATGCAACTCACTTATTTCATGATGCCAGGTTGTCATTAATAATAGTAAAAGTACTCTTGATACAATTTTAAAATTTAATTGACTTCTAATTTCATTATTTTAAAGTGTGTTAAAGATCACGTGACACACAGTATGATGTTGCCACATTATGTCACTACTAGATATTAGCTTTGTTTCTCTGACCAAATCATAAACCTGACTGGTCCCATCACACAAAAGAATACAGTGATGTTATAAGTATAGGTTATACACCGAGGTCGAGGTTTTTATGGGATTTATTTTACCGAAGGACACAGTAATAATTGCAAATAGGCATGGTAGAACGTAAGGATGTTTTTTGCTATGTCCTCATATTTTGTGCATACAAATAATAAATTTACTGTCACACATACCTGTATATTAACATTATGTCACATGAGAAGTATCCTAATTACAGCTCAGCATGGTGTTTTGTTGTATCAGTGTACAAATCTTTTTTATGCTTTTAATGCTTCTCAATACTGTTAATCCATAACTCATGATACTTTTATGTTCTACCTTATACATTCATATGATGTATAATTTTTATAACACCTGCTGGCAATTACTCTAAGTTTATTTCACAAAAATTTAGAAGTAGATACATTAATATTCTTTGTACATTGTATTTTGTCATTACATGCATTCATCAAGTATTTGTATTGGTATTAAATTTATTATTGGTCCAAAATATATGTAATTCTGATGACGTACTTGACTCTTCTTGCTCAGTACAAAGATAAGCGACATATAATTTAAGTTACTTGTAAATGAGCTCATTGGTTCACTTTTGAATAGTTGGTGTTTGCTAGGTGCTTAACATTGTCATATTTTTTTCAGAGACAAGTATTTTAAATTATTTTTGAAATAGTTTGTCAAGTATTTGTAATTGTAATGAAATGAAAGATAATACCGCCACTGGAATTTAAGTATTTTACACTTCCATGGGTGTATTTGACCATAAGTCTTGTTAGATAGATAGTCCCAAGGACCTGACGTTAAACGTAATGTAGAAGGGGTCAGCTATGCGAAACTGCTCAATGTATTGTAAATCTACTATGCTTCATTAATGGTGAAATTGCATATCCTATAACAGTGTTAACATGTGTATTGTTGGCTAAAGAAGGCACAAATTAGCTAATCAAACAATTAAGAGATCACTCATACATCCCAGTGCTGTGACTAATTGGAATGAGTTGGCTCAAGTGATCCTTCTAGTCATTATAAAGAGACAGAGATTTAGAAAATTTTTAAATCTATGTCTAAAAGATTCTTGTATACTATAGTCTTAAGTCTGAGCACTGTTAGCAGAGGCATGGCAAGTCCACATTCAAGTCGAATGAGGGTGACTTTGAAAAGAAATGACAGGAAGCATGATCTCATTGTCACACAAGTAACTACGGAAAATATTAGGTTGTTCCCCCAAGTATAATTATTGCTTGTGCACTACACTAGGTGACACTAATTATTTGTAGGTAAATAATGCAGAAGCATATTTAAAAGACAGCTTTAGTGAACGGTCATACGTGCCCCAGCCAGATGGTAGCTTTGATTTAGACCCAATCTACATTGTTTGTTGAGGGCCCTATAGCGTCTAATCACTATTCACGACCATCACTGTCAGTCTCTAGTACAGGCCCAAGCCCTGCAGTACCATCTACTCCACCAATATTTCGTTCTCTCACTGCTAAGAAACAGATGCCTACATGTTGTTTAAATGTAGTGAAGTCAAAGCTGAACAAAAGCAACAGAAATAAGCCAGATTTTGAGCCATTAAGCCAGACATACATTGAATTGATTGAATCCTAACCTGGAACAAATCATGGCTGTCATACACAGATGATGGGTATCACATTTTTTCTTCTGACCAGTGATGGAATTGAGTTAAAAGAATGACATGCTATACAAGGTTTGATTTTAAGTACATTCTATTTTTCACTCTTGGTTATAATTGGTAATTATTATGTAGGTCTTTCATTTTGGAAATGGCCTAGCAGGAAAATATATGCTGTCTCAAAGAAGGATCTAAGTGACGATTGCTCCATAAATATGACTCAAAAAAATAATTGCGCTCAGTGATTTGGACAATGATGATTTTGAACCAGAAAAGAAGAAAGTAAAGAAGGTGGACAAGAACAAGATAGACATTGTTGACAAAGAAGTTATTGACATGGAAGCTAATATATTTACGTTAATGTCTCTGTCAGAAAACAAATATACCACTTGGACTATACTGTATTACTCGAGACATCTTCCAGTGCACCATCTGTCACATTGTTCCAGTTCGACCACCTGTTGTCACCAAATGTTGCAAGACCATTTTGGGATGTGACAAGTGTGTCAATGAATGGTTCAGTGGAGCAGAAGGCCTCATTAAACCTTGCCCTTCATGTCCTGCCGATAAGGGATACAATGAGTCAATGATGCTATGTGGTTTAGATGGGTTTTTGACTGAAATTAGCTAAGTAATTCAAACAGAAGACAAAAGAGATGAAGAATTGCCACCTGTTACTTTGAATTAAACTTATCATTATTAGTGATTAGGTATAACTACTAACTATTATTGTTATTTAAAGCTATCACTGTCATTCAATATAACATGTTGTTTATAAGATTAATCAATAAAATATAGGCACAATGATTTACAAAGAAATTGTAATGCACACAAAATTTTATTAAAAGGGTAGCTTAATCAAATGTAATAACAAATAATTATCAGTGTGTGAAGCAATCAAATCCTATTAGTTTCAAAAAATATAGCAAACCTTCAGGAAATAAAGTATAATCTCCATTAACTAAAGAATGGAAAAACGGTCCAAAATCGGAATAACGTTGAAGAAACCTGGCCTCTCGCTGCATTAAGTTTTTCATATATCCCTCTAAGGGGTCTTGTCCAAATGGATGAAACTCTGTGATATGGCTACCTTGGGACAGAAATTATCTGACAGCTACATCACGTTCAGGAACTATTGAAGGATCAAGCAAGACAGTTTCGTTATTTCTCATCATTTAACTATTTGGAATGCCTCTATTGGACCTAAATATACCCAAAATACATGTAAAGATAATTAAGATGTAGTAGAAATTCACAATAAGCATTATTTGTGGTGTGGTCTGAGAAAATCAACCTTAACAGAAAAAATTGGAAAATTATATTATTTTATCAAAAAATTGCTCTTACGATTCTCTATCAATTGGTGCTTTTTGCGCATCATTGCGGCTTACCCATTTCAAGCTATAAACCTTCGTATATTGTTGTTCTCAATTTTTAATGTTCCCATTTACTTTCCGTGTTACAAATGGCAACACATGACCATACAAGTTGAAAATGGAGAAAAAGTTGCTTGAAGGTGTTGCTACTTAAAACTCTCCTATCATTGTTTAGGATAAACACAAAGGTAAGCTCTACAGTCAGTGTGATTGTTAGAGTGGCAGTAGGGTCTTATTTTGTAGGCGCTCATTAAAAATGTGTGTAGCGTATCGAGCGCTCGAGATTTATGTTGTAGTTTGACTCGTTCTCTCTTTCTTCTAGCCATCAAGCCAACTAAGAAGCCAGTGAACATTCCAGCTATGGTGTGCATTCCCTGTTAGCTCTCTGAGAACAAAGGTAAACTATTAAGGACTTAAAAAGCAAACTGTATGTTTTCTTCCTATTTCTACTTTTTAGGATAGGTGCCACCAACCTAGAAAAGCAAAAACAAAACATTTAAAATAGTTCTTAAATTCATTCTGAGAGGATTATATTTATCATGTTAACAATTGTCAAGATATTTGCACGTGAAGAATGTTTTGAATGATCCCTCAATATCATCAAAGATTTGACAATACATCAGGTATTTTGTCTTCATTCCTTGTAACACAGTACATCACTTGTTGTGGTAAAAGTTTGTGTCTAAACTACCTTAGTAGTGTAACATAGTGTCCTTTCCTGTTATACAGTTGTATTGCTTGATGTGTTTTGAGTATCTAATATAGCATACAAAAGATCATAATGTGTATTGTGTACTTATTATTAGTATAACTTACCTTAATAGTGTAGCATAGTGTCCTTTCCTGTTATACAGTTGTATTGCTTGATTCGTCTGTAATATCTAATTGTAGATAAAAGATTGTAACGTGTATTATGTACTTATTATATAGGCGGTAGCCTATATGTAGGGTTGAGGTTGATTTTTCAAGATGGCAACCAAATTTATAATTTTCAAATGATTATAACTCTTCTATCTTACCTTGTACGGCCTTATAAATGGCTTAGATGAGCTCTCCTTCACTGAGCAATTCTCCTGGTACCTTTAAAGTGGACCGCAATGTAGCAGCAGCAATTCTGGATGATAGGCCAAAATTCAAATTTCTGCAAAATTCTTCAGACTTTTCCTTCTTCTTTCATCTTTCTTCTATACACCGGATAATCTATTAAACT